GGAGGGAGGGAGGCAGGGAGGGGGTACGCTGGACCCTCTGGGAGGAGGGAGGGAGTACGCTGGACCCTCTGGGAGGAGGGAGGGAGGCAGGGAGGGGGTACGCTGGACCCTCTGGGAGGAGGACGGGAGGCTCTCTGGGAGGGAGGCAGGGATGGGGTACGCTGGACCCTCTGGGCGGGGCCCCCTTGAGCCCTTCTGGGGGGGTGGATCGGGGTTAGCGGCCCAGCCCAGGAATTTCGTGATTGTTTGAATCTCAGTCCTGCTGTGAATTAGCTTTAGAATGTAAATGGTGAGGGATGGCCTTCCTGAAGTCCCAACCATTGGGAGGCAGAAGCAGGAAAATGGCTAGTTAGGATGCAGCACTGGCAAGCTTGCAAGATCCTGCCTCAAAATAAATCTTTCTTTTGAATCTAAAAAACAGAAAAAAAAAAATGATCCAAGTGCAGTGGCACGCGCTTGTAATCCCAGTGGCTTGGGAGGCCGAGACAGGAGGATAGAAAGTTCAAGGGCAAGGTGCTAAGCAACTCAGCGAAACCGTGTTTCTAAATAAAATACAAAATAGGGCTGGGGATGTGGCTTGAGTGGCTGTGAGTTCAATCCCTGGTACCAAAAAAAAGAAAATGAAAAGTGGGAAGAACACACAGTTTCCCATAAGGAATCACATTTCCTTCCATCTCAGCAGAAAAGGCTTCTCTCACTTCTGTGTGAGCTCAGCCATATCCTTCCTGATAGGTAACACAGACATGAGCAGTGGAAACATGAAGTTAAGGGAATAGTTCTGCAAACTGGTTCCACTATGCTGACCCTACTCCCAACCCACATGTGCTTTCTTTTAAAAAGCAATTTGCCTGCAACACTGCCTGGCTTCAGTCAATAGGCTATGTTGCATTTCTCATCAAACACCCTTTTATCTGCAAGAGAAATGCAGGCCTGAAATGCTGACAAGAACACGTTCCCCAGAAGGGTGGTAGACTTTTGCTATGCATTCACAGCCAGATTCCAGAACTTAGGGAGCTAAGGATAATTTCCCCTACCCATAAATGCTGAATTACAACTGGTCAGCAAAGGCCAAAGTGAAATGGAGTTGCCTTGGAGGTGTTGCCAAGAGCATTAGGGACTTAGAAGCCTGATGCAATCCTGTTGTCAGTCAAAAGTCAAAAGGTGGAGCTGGGTGGGACTATAGAATCTTCTTTGGGGACCCCCAATGAAACTAGAGGGCAGGAGGGCTATATTGTCCTTTCTGAGAGAACCCACTCTATCCCTTGAGAGTGTCCCCTTGCCCCCTTTCCTAGCTCTCTAATAAAATTTGCTATTCTTTTATGGCATCCTCTCAAGCGGGAACATGAGAATCTAGGGTAGAGACCTCTGCAGCTGCCTCCCTCAGGCTCTGCAGGTGGGTCTCTTGCAACACTTCCCACACACGCACATGCCTGTATGGCCAAGTAGTGTTTGGAGGGTATAGTTTTATGTAGCCTGTATTTCCATCTGCTACCCCACTCCTATGTATCAGGTAGTGATCACTCTGTACCTATTAATGTGGGTAAAGCATGCTGTAAACTAATTTTTTTCTTTTTTTTTTTTTTTGGTACTTGGGATTGAACCCAAGGTTGCTTAACCACGGAGCCACATCCCCAGCCCTTTTATATATTTTATTTAGAGACAGGATCTGGCTAGGTTGCTTAGGCCTTGCTAAATTGTTGAGGCTGGGTTTGAACTTTCCATCTTCCTGTTTCAGCCTCCCAAGTTGCTGGGATTACAGGCATGTGCCACCGCGCCTGGCCAATGTAAGCAGTATTTTCAACTGCTGCTTCTCACTTAGCTGCCCTCCTATGGAAGAATTGTGGCTTACATTCTTAGGCTGTCTATCCTAGTGCATAATCTGCACAGGATACACTCTATCTGCTGAAGATCCCACCGTGAAAGAGTAAGACTGAAATTTCCCCTTCTTCCTCTTCCCCAAACCAGGGGCTTCCAACCAATTGTGGTGCATTTTCTGCTTGCTTTCTGTTCTTTGCCTGAGTGCATAATTACAAATATGTCTCCTTTCTACAAAAAGTGGGATGATGCATATGTTTATTACTCATGGGGACAAGGGGTACACTTTCTCGATAGTAGTGCTCCACAAATACACAGAGTCAAATTGGCAGAAGAGTGGATTGTATGCAAGCCAGCTCTAGAGAGGGATAGAGCAAATATTTTTTTTCACAGTCTTCAGAAAACTCAAGGGTGAGGAAAGCTGTTACAAGAGAACAGGGACAAAAGTACATAAGCAGATGTAGCTAGGTTGTGTTACACCAGGCTACTAGCTGGGGCCGGGGGTGACCAGTTCCCTGCATGAGAAGTGAAGACAATTTGGAGCTTTAATTCTTAGTGTGTGGGGCCACCCCTGAGCTATTTAGTGTCTTCTTTCAGCCTTGAGCCAAAGAGGTTTGGGTCTGGCTTTGCACGCTATTTTATGGCCCCTCCCACTTGATGGATTGCTGCAGATGAATGTGGCCTTTACCTCCGCTGGGCTAAGGAGTCTGCTTTCTCAGAGCTCTGGACCTGGATATTACCCCTTGCCTTATTTGGTGAAGAACATTCCATCGAAATTTTTTTTTAAGCCCCCTTGTATAAATAAAGGAAACACAGGTTCTCGAATTCTCTTTTTCCAGTGTGGAAGCTTGGCCTGTAAGTACAAAGAGCCATCTGTTAGACCACGACACAAGAAAAGACCACTGACTCCAATTAAAATCAAATTAAAGCAAGCTTATTATTTCGACCGGCCGGGCTGTCTTGCCCATCAAAATCGTGGGAGCCAAGGACAGCGGCGAGGCTTCTTTGCAGCCTGGTTTTATAGCCCAAAAAGTTACACAAAGGGGGGGTTACAGATAACAACACTCTGAGGAGCATAACACAAGCTTACATTTTTGCTGGCCCCGTCATCAGAATTTTTGGAGATCTTAGAGACTCAGAGAGGGTCGTTATCCGGCCAGGGAAGGCCAGAATTTATGGGGCATCACCAAGTTTAGGGAAGGGTTGTTATATGGTCAGGGAAAACCGGACATGGGTGAGTTTAGGGCACGGGCAGGCATTTCAATCAGCTTTACAACATCAACTAATGGCCAGGCCATACAGACATCCTAATATTTTTACAGAAAACAGAAATGAATCCTTCATAACTTGTGACAAGCTGGCTTCTGATCTAATGAGAGAACTAGGCTAGGTACATCACCATCCTGCCCCCACTTTATAAAAAATTACTTCCGTGACCTGTGGTCTTTTCGCCACCAGCCTACTCCACGCAGAGGGACCCTGTTTCCATGGCATGCACGGGATGTGGGCAGGATCTCAGTATGTGGGAGTTGCCCTTAATTTTAGAGGGATTCTGTTTCATGCGCACTGGCATACCTCAAGATCTTACCCATCAGTGCCTGTTTTGCTGTCTGATGACTGAACAGGGTTTCTGTCTTGTCATGTCGTTTCTGCCACATCAGGTTTTTTTTGTTGTTTTTTTTTTTTTTTTTTTTTTTTTTTTTTTTTAGAGGCAGGGTCTCATTGAGTTGCTTAGTGCCTCGCCATTGCTGGGGCTGGCTTTGAATTCTCCACCCTTCTGCCTCAGCCTCCCAAACCACTGGGATTACAGGTGTGTGCCACCATGCCCAGCCAGGTTGGGTTTTGATGCAAGGCAAATCAGCCCCATATGCCATAAGGAGTGGCCGCCATAAAGGCTTGGGCCTCAGGTGCTCACACCTTACTCTGGGTGTGTCTGGGTTGGTGTTTTGTCAGATGAACACTTGCAGACACTCCATAGTGTGAGTGCCTCATGCAAACCACTGAGGCCCAAATAGAACAAAAAGACTCTCTGCCTGACTGAAGTGGGATATCGTTTTCTCCTGGCTTCAGACTCAGACTTCCACTTGAATTGGGACTTAGACCTTATCTCTCCTGGGTCTCTATCTGCCAGAGCAGATCCTGCATTCTCAGCCTCCAAAAATCATGTGAGCCAAGTCCTCATAACAAGTCCATTATCTTTCTCTGTTCTCTCTCTGGAGGACCCAGACTAACACATGGTCCATCTCCTTCAAGTTGGGCTTCCAAGTCCTCCTTTCCTTTCAGCAGTGCCCTGTCCTGTCCTCACAGAAACACCACTTGTTGGTCTGCCTCCTGGTCCTCACCACCCTGCAGTCTTCATGCTCCTCAAAGCAATCATTGGAGGACATGTGAGGTGGTACCTGCATCCCTTGGCTCCTTGTCCCTTCCTCCATCCTCAAAGCAGCAGAGCAGCACCTTCCAATCTCTTCACTTCCCTCTTTCACTTGCGGGATCCCATGGTCACACTGCACTCACTCAAATAACCAAGGATACTTGCCCTAGTTAAAATCCTAGATCTGATCACCCCTGGAAAATCTGTTTTGCCATCTGAGGTAACATGTTCCTAGGTCAGGGTTTGGGTATGGACATCTCGGGGACCTCACCTTACCAGAGTCAGCCTTCCTAGGCATACCTTTATTACTCAAGGCTAAGAATGCAGATGGGTCCAAGAAAACTCATCCTTCTTCCTGGAAAACAACTCAGTGCATCGACCCTGTTCCAGAACCATCTCCTTCTAACTCTGTAACCATGGGACTTGCCCATTCCTCACTGAAGGGCTGCCCCAGGGTAGGGAGGGCAGACCTTCAAGATGCAGCCAGAGGCAGAGGTGTAAAGCCACAAAGGCCAGGAGGCCCTAGAAAGTCATTGTGTGAGGCCATATCTGAGGCCAGCAACATGTGGGGCCTGGAAAGATGTGGGCTCTGGAGCTGAGCTGCTGTGTTGAAGACAACACTTCTCTGTGCGTTCTCATCTGTAGTATGTCAGATGGGGACAATGAGAGCTGATACTTCATAGGACTGACATGCCAAAGTCCACGAGATAGTTAAAGAGAACTGTGGGAATAAAGCTGGGCATGTCCTTACAGTAAATATATGTATTGTAAGGGTTACATCTATAATCACAGTGTTATCATAGAAAATAGTAGTCTTTGCCCACAAGTCTGAGAGAAACAAAGTCGTAGCATGAGGCCATCCAGCTGTTTCCTTTTGGTCTCTATCTTGTCTACCTATTTCTTGATGGCCAAAACTGGGGGGCCAGTCTCACAGTTCCCAGCACTCAGGCATCTGGAAGCTTCTCTCTCATGAGAAGGCTGGTCACCTCCAATTCATGTTTAGCACTTTGCTGTTTTTGTTTTGTTTTGTTTTTGCAGTGTAGGGGATTGAACCTAGGGCCTCATATGCTAAGCAGATGCTTTACCACCAAGCCCGAGCCCCATTATCTTTACCACACATTATTAGCTCAGATGTCCTTATTAAGGTCAGTTACTACTAATAATAGCAATAATTAACAAATATTACAACCAATTATAATAATACATAGTACTACAGATAGTGATAGTAAAATTACAAATATAGTCAAATATTTTCTAACCATCAAACTCACTTTAAAAAAATCAGATAATACTTTTAGTTTGGAGTATAAGCCCTTAGCAACCACATCATGTGGGCATTTCCCAGGTGCATCTGAAGTTCAAACAGTTTATCATTCTGTACAGCCAGGCCCTCCACATGTCTGCACATATTAAAAACATTGTGGCAAAAAGTGAATGCATACCCTTGAAAGCACATACATTACTTACTTTGTCCTTCCTGCTGTTGATGGTGACCAATAGTCCTTTCCACTGGGCCCATTGTAAGGTTTGACTGAAAAAAACACCTGAACTTTGGAGTGTTACATTTCAAAATCCCAAGAACCTTCAAATGATAACCAGTGTCCATAAGAGGGTACCACTTTCACAGGGCCTCTTTATATATGACCTCATTAAACCCCATGGCTTCCTAGGGAGACTCTGTACCAGGGGCCTGGTTTGCTCTGAACTTTGTGTCCTTTCGGGTCATTTCACTGACAGCGCAATGTTCCTGGACACAGTCAAACTTCTACCAATGGGTCCCAGAGTGTTCTAGTTAATATGTCTTGTTTCAGAAGTTGTTGCTGGAAATGCTTATAAAGCATATCTTTAGTGACTTAGTAAGTATGTAGAGTAGGGACATTCAGTATGCAGTAGGACATTCCTCGTGCATGTCCCTTGTATGAACTGATCCTTCCCCACCCAACTCTCTGCTTCCCTCCCACAGGCCCCACCTAAGTCAGGTCTCAGCACAAGTCTCAGGGACACGCTCGGTCCACATGGGAGCCTGCAGAAGGGACTGCTGGCTTTAGCATCTCTTCTACTTCTGTACATATTTACATGACATCTCCAGCCCCCTGGCCTCGGCTGGGTCAAGATGAGTTCTGGCCTCTGGGACGTACACAGAAGTGACTGTGTCCCTGGTGGTCCAGCCACAAACCAATGCCACTGTCTGTGTTCGTTATCTTGCCAGTTACGGAGTTCCTGGAGGGTGTTGGATCCTCCAGATAAAAGAAATCTGGCCATGTGGCTGCAGCGGCCAGCATGGCCAGAGCAAGGTTGGGAAATTAACTTATAATGCTTATGCTGATGCAATTTGCATTTTTTTCTGAGTAGAGCAAATAAATCCCAGTAGAGTGAGATAAACAGGAATAATGCAATGTAATGCAGAGTTTAGAAGAAGCAAACTGTTAGGAGTGGACTGCAGGGACAAGGATGAGCAGGAAGGCCTGGGAAGACTTGACAGCCTAAGCCAGAGGTAGCGCAGGACAGGAGGCAGGTAGCCACTGTAGACCCTAGAAACAGACCTGACAGGCCAGTGGAAGGTCAGGTGCATGAGTGAGGGAGAAAGAAAGCAAGCAAGCTGGCTGGCTTGCCACAGTGGCACTGCTGTAGCCAGAGGGGAGTTTGGAAGGGCACATGCTAAAGCTTGAGACAGCATTCTGACATCCGTACAGTCATCTCTTGCTTCACAAGTTCAGGGCAGAAGTCTGAACCAGAGATAAATCTGGAAGTTGTCCATGTGTGTTTGCTGTTTGGCTCCCTCAGATTGGTTAAGGGGTCCAAGGACATGAGGGTGGAGTGAGGAGAGAAGGATCCGAGCCTCCTGGCAGGTAGAGGGCAGAATGAGGAGCAATGGCCAGAGGAGAAGAGTGCAGGGGAAGGGGAGGACAGTCCTGGGGGCAAGAATAGGTGCCTACCTGTCAATGTTGGTCACGGGGATGTGGAGGAAAATCTTCCCTTGGATTAGGCCTAGGAGTGGCTCTCATTGGCTTCACTGCACCAGTTTTGGTGGAGTGTTGGGAATGAACAAAAGGATGATGCATGCGAGAGGAGCGGAGACATGAGACTCAGCTGGAAGTGAGAAACTGATGTGACTCCATTTTTGGGAAATCAACTTCTATCTCAAGGCCTGTCCAAAGAAGGGGGCATGAACCTTGTCCTGGGAAAAACCCACAGAGCACTCCTAAGCACATACCCACCCTGCTGATTGTTTGTCTGTAAATAACAGGGGAGTTCTGTGGTGCCAGGTGTCCCTGACTCAGTTAGGCTAGGTGAGGATCCATAGCAACCCCCTAGTAACCTCCAGTCAGCATGAGACAGGGAAAATACCTGGGATGCCAGATGACCCCCCCCAGTAGTTTATGGTGGTTGATAACATGTTGGGAAACCATGTAGTTTAGCACATACTCCCCACCTCATGGCCTAAACCAGTCAGTTCAAAGGAATCTCCCTATTGTACTAAC